TGAAGCAAGCGCCTCAAGAAATATAGGATTATGTGAAAAGACAAAATTACATCTGATTGGTGTGCCTGAAAGTGGAAGGCGGAAATGGAACCAAACTGGGAAAACACTCTGCAGGATATCATCCAGGAGAACTCCCAACCTAGTTAAGCAGGCCAACATTCAAATTCAGGAAATACGGAGAACGCCACCAAAGATACTCCTTGAGAGAGCAACTCCACGACACTAATTGTCAGATTCACCAAAAGTTTTACATGAAGGAAAAAATGTTAAGGGCAGCCAGAAGAGAAAGGTCGGGTTACCCACAAAGGAAAGCCCATCAGACTAACAGAGAGATCTTTGGCAGAAACCCTACAAGCAGAGGAGAGTGGGGGCCATATTATTCAACATTCTTAAAGAAAACAATTTTCAACGCCAGATTTCATATCCAGCCAAACTAAGCTTCATAACGTGAAAGGAGAAATAAAATCCTTTACGACAAGGATAATGCTGAGATATTTTGTCACCACCAGGCCTGCCTTATAAGGATTTCTGAAGGAAGCACTAAACATGGAAAGGAACAACCAGTACCAGTCACTGCAAAACATACCAAATTAGTAAAACCATCAACACTATGAAGAAATGCATCAAATAATGAGCAAGAACACAGCTATATTCATAATGACAGGATCAAAGTTCAACATAACAATTATTAACTTAGGAATGTAATGGACTAAATGGTTCAATTAAAAGACACAGACTGGCCGATTGGATTAAAGAGTCAAGAGCCCATAGTTTGCTGTATTTCAGCGGAGACCCATCTCACTTGCAGAGATGCACTATAGGCTCAAATAAAGGGATGCAGAGGAAGATCTCCCAAGAAATGGAAACAAAAGAAAGCAGGGGTGTAGCTAGTCTCTGATAAACAGACTTTAAACATCAAATACAAAGAGACAAGAAAGGCCATCTTACTGGCAACCACTGATCTCTTTACTGTCTCCACAGATTTGCCTTTTCCAGAATGTCATATAGTTGGAACCATATGGTATATGGCCTTGTCAGATTGGCTTCTTTCACTTAATAATGTGCATTTAAATTTCTTCCATGTCTTTTTATACCTTGACAGCTCATTTCTTTTTAGCACTGAATAACATCCCTTCATTGCACACACTGTGTAAAGAATGACTTTATACACTTCATTGCACACACTGTGTAAAGAATGCTTATACACAGGACAGCTTACGCAGGACAGCAACATGATCTGGTCACTGTCTAAACAACATGTGCAAGACAAGGTGACTCATGCTATCTGAGAGCAGTGGTGCTGTCACACTATAGGTGACACAGCTCAAGTCCCATATCTGCCTTGAAACATTGCTTCCTACATTCCTGGTACTTGCTGTGACTTATAATCTGCCCTGCCCTGGGTGGGCAGTGGTGCTTAATGTTATGAACATGGCATCTTAGGCTGTACAGGCAGGTTCAGATTCTGCCTCTCATATTTGTTTTCTTTGTGAGTGAGGGATAGATATGTAAACCTCTTCAGCCCTTTGTTGTGGTATGAAAAGGTGTAATAATTTACCTCAAGAGGATTTAAATCAATTAATGCTGTTAGAGACCTTCATAACTTGCATAGCATTTAGTATGCTTTGAAAAGTTACCTTTATTAATAAGATATGTCAAGTGTCTGTCATGTTTCTTATGAGATTGACCTTTGCCTGCATTATCTTACATGTTTTATTTTTTGTAATTTTTTTCATATCAACATTTTCTCTGATGCTACATAATAAAATGTTAAAGCACATATCTTTCATTATACATATTTTTTTTTTGGCCATAGAACTGGAAAACTAGATGACATTTCCTAGTCAGGGAGTTTCTCTGTATACTGCTATGATATAACTGCAGGCGTGAAATTATTTCAGACTCCCCTCCTAATTCTTCATCTTTATTATAATGTGCATTTACCTGAAGCTGATATTTCAAAATTTAGTGATTCTCAACATATTATTTTTCCTGTTGTGTGTTCCTTCTGTTTTTTCTGTAGGTCATAAGCAATAATTCTTTAGAATTTCACTGACAATTGTGTGTAATTGTGGTTATTAACTTACCTGTTAGATTTTCACAGGTTACTAAAAAGTGTTTTGTTTTTGTTTGTTTGTTTTTTTTGAGACAGAGTCTTGCTCTGTTGCCCAGGCTGGAGTGCAGTGGCCTGATCTCGGCTCACTGCAAGCTCCGCCTCCCGGGTTCATGCCATTCTCCCGTCTCAGCCTCCCAAGTAGCTGGGACTACAGGCGCCCGCCACCATGCCCAGCTAATTTTTTGTATTTTTTTAGTAGAGACGGGTTTCATCAATGTTAGCCAGGATGGTCTCCGATCTCCTGACCCTCAGTGATGTCTGCCTGTCTTGGCCTACCCAAAGTGGTGGGATTACAGCGTCGAGAGCCACTCGCTGCGCTGGCCTTTATTTGTTTTTATGATGATTTTACAGATGATGGTTTTTCAGTATATATTATGCAATATAACCACATCTGCACAAATTTTGTTAATGCTACATGGGTATAGTAGTTTTATAACAAGTATTCAATATTTGCAATTGTAAATATTCAAAATTTTATTAAACTCTTCCTAATTTTTCCTTGCAGTGTTTTTTTTGCAATTATGAATTGCCATTTAAAAAATATTTTTATTAAGATAAGTTGAGCTGTGCCTTACCTTTTATTTGTGTGTAATAATTATGTACTAAAAATGCATTACATCATTTATTTATCCTTCTAATATGAGAACTACAATATAGCTATGCCAGTTACGTGTTCCTTGGAGTGGGTGGTGGAAAAATACCTCTTCTCTCAGGTTTTATGTGGATTTACATAGTATGAGTGTTTCAGCTATAGGGTATTTTAAATGTGCTTAAAGTAATTTGTTGCATGTTTTTGTTTTTTTTTTTTTTTTTGAGACGGAGTCTCGCTGTGTCTCCCAGGCTGGAGTGCAGTGGCGCGATCTCGTCGGCTCACTGCAAGCTCCGCCTCCCGGGTTCACGCCATTCTCCCCGCTCAGCCTCCCAAGTAGCTGAGACTACAGGCGCCCGCCACCACCGCCGGCTAGTTTTTTTTTTTTTGTATTTTTAGTAGAGACGGGGTTTCACCATTGTTAGCCAGGATAGTCTCGATCTCCTGACCTCGTGAGTCCACCCCCGCCCGCCTCCCAAAGTGCTGGGATTACAGACTTGAGCCACCGCGCCCGGCCTGCATGTTTTGTTACTATGTTACTTTACTGAGGACAGCTAGTCCCTTTGTGTTCTTAAAGGTTTAAAGACGATTGAGAAGCTTCATAACTCTGTTCGTTGTAAATCTTAGTTTTCTTGTAATATTATGTATTTTAATAAAATATTTACCTTGCACCTCTATTTGATGGAAAGCCTGTGGATTTTTATATCTTTCAGATATTTCTTTTGGATTTACAAGCAAGGGATTATCACCAAAGGAAAACAATAAAGAGGAATTATACCATCTGGTGATATTAGAAAGAAAGGAAAGCCATGGCATCAACAATTTTGACCTCAAGGAAGTCTGGGAAAATATGCCTAAGTTTGACAGCCTGTGGGACTATGATGCAAAAAATTACAAAGGAACGCCTTTGACCTCTAACAAAAATCTCACTCCCAGAAAAGATCAACAACATAATAAATCCTCAATACATTTCTCTTTAAAGCAGAGTGTTTCTATAAGAGATAGTGCATACCAATATTTCATACATGACACGCCATTTATAAGGAATTTGTTAAAACTGAAAAATAACATAAGGTATGCTGGAAACAAATACGTGAAATGTTTTGAAAATAGAATTGGATTAAGCTTACAGGCACAGCTGACTGAACGACAGAGATTTCAAACTGGGGAGAAAATGTATGAATGTAATCCAGTGGAGAAGTCTATCAATAGTTCCTCAGTTTCACCACTTCCTCCTTGTGTCAAAAACATTTGTAATAAATATAGGAAGATTTTGAAATACCCTTTGTTACATACACAGTATGGGAGAACACACATTAGAGAAAAATCATACAAATGTAATGACTGTGGAAAGGCTTTTAGCAAAAGTTCGAACCTCACTAATCATCAGAGAATTCATTCTGGACAGAGACCTTACAAATGTAAGGAGTGTGGCAAAGCCTTTAACCAGTGTTCAAACCTCACTAGGCATCAGAGAGTCCATACAGGAGAGAAACCATATCAATGTAATATATGTGGCAAGGTCTGTAGTCAAAATTCAAATCTTGCAAGTCATCAGAGAATGCATACTGGAGAGAAACCTTACAAATGTAATGAATGTGGTAAGGCATTTATCCAGCGTTCACACCTTTGGGGACATGAAAGAATTCATACTGGAGAGAAGCCTTACAAATGTAGTGAATGTGACAAAGCCTTTGCTGAGCGTTCCAGCCTTACCCAACATAAGAGAATCCATACTGGAGAGAAGCCTTACATATGTAATGAGTGTGGCAAAGCTTTTAAGCAGTGCTCACATCTCACTAGACATCAGAATATACATCCTGGAGAGAAACCACACAAATGTCATGTGTGTGGCAAGGCTTTTATCCAAAGTTCAAGTCTTGTGGAACATCAGAGAATTCACACTGGAGAAAAACCTTACAAATGTAATAAATGTGATAAAGCTTTTATCAAACGTTCACACCTTTGGGGTCATCAGAGAACTCATACTGGAGAGAAACCTTACAAATGTACTGAATGCGGCAAAGCCTTTACTGAACGTTCAAATCTTACCCAGCATAAGAAAATCCATACTGGAGAGAAACCTTACAAATGTACTGAATGTGGCAAAGCTTTTACCCAATTTGCAAACCTTACTAGACATCAGAAAATACACATTGAAAAGAAACATTGTAAACATAATATACATGGTAATGCTTTATTCCAAAGTTCAGACCTTGGGGATCATCAAAAAATTTATAATACAGAAAAATGTATCAAATATAATGAGATAAAAATTAAATAAGTATTCAAACTGTACTTAGCATCAGGGGTTCCACTGTGAAAAGAAACCATATAAAATGAAAATGTGGTAAAGCCTTTAGCTATGGCTTGTACCTTACTTGATACCAGAATATACATCTTTGAGATAAACCACACAAAGATAACGTGTATGGCAAGGCTTATCCAAAGTTCAACCTTGTGGAACTCACAGAATTCTTACTGTGGAGAAGCCTTACAAATATAATGAATGTAAACAGCTTTATAAAAATATTTACCCTATTATGGATATAACAGAATACATTTAGGATGGAAACCATACAAATGTGGCAAGTCCTTTAAGCAATGTTCTGACTTCAGGATACACCATTCATTTTGGAGAGAAACATTACAAATGAAGGTGATAAATTATTTTAAATTTCTCAATGGAAATTCATCCTTATACGAAAGCATTTTGTCATACAAAAATTCAGGATAGAGGGAACTAAGTCTTTATTCCTTCTTGAAGATTAAGTGATTGATGTTAAATTCACAGATAATTTTAAAAAGTCACAAACTCATAAGATGGTGTGTGTCAGAGGAGCAAGGACATCTGTGGAAAGATGTAACTCCTCAGTGTTAATTTTTTATTCAGTTATTTCATATTGTTTATTGATGAATTTACACCTTGAAATTTGAAATATGTTGATGTTAAATCTTCATGGCATGCTTTTCATTTATCATGTTTGTCTCAAGGAATGGATGTAAGATGGAAGAGACTACTTCCAAAGGTGTGGCTTATATATATTATTGAAACCAGGAAAAAGCAAGAACACTAATTTTTTTTTTTTTTGAGACAGAGTCTTGCTGTGTTGCCCAGGCTGGAGTGCAGTGGCACGATCTCAGCTCACTGCAACCTCTGCCTCCCGGGTTCAAGCGATTCTCCTGCCTCAGCCTCACGAGTAGCTGGGATTACAGGCATGTGCCATAATGCCTGGCTAGTTTTTTTTGTTTTGTTTTCTTTGTATTTTTAGTAGACATGGGGTTTTGCCATGTTGGTCAGGCTGATCTTGAATTCCTGACCTCAGGTGATCCATCCGCCTTGGCTCCCAAAGTGCTGGGATTACAGGCGTGAGCCACTGTGCCCAGCCAAGAACACTAATATACAATATCCTATAAGAGCATAGGGGTTTGTGACAGAAGAGAGGTAAAACTATTGTCTAACATATGCTTTATGTGGTCAGGACCCCTTAGAATTGTTGATATGACTGGGGACCTGTGTCGATTATAGGAAAGATAGGTTACACTACAAGATGACCATGAAACAAGAAGAGTAGGATGGGACATTGAGAGATTTCATGGAAGTAAAATGGTCAGTCACTAGAGACTGCATATGTGGTAGGAAGAAATGGAGGGGGAATGATGATCACCTCTCTTTTGAAAGGTAGTAACTGTTGCATATCACAGATTATTGAACATAGGTCTTATTTTTGGAAACTGGAGAGAGAATGGTTACCATAGAGGACAGTCCATCAAAAGAACCAGAGTAGAGTGTTCTTATAAGGGATTCACATCTGGCCCCTGAGATTGCATTTGATACTCTTTTATTTAGAATATATTATACTTCTCATGTCTTAGTAAAATATAATTATTTTTAGTAACGCTGAATAAATCATGTGCCTTCTGTCAACCCAAGCATATCCCACCCCATCGGGACACTTAAACACTATAATACATCATTAGACTCTCAAGGTTGAACGTCATCTATAACAATTTCTATCCATGTTATGTTCAAACAGTATACAATTTGAGAAATACATATTCATAATTTGTACTTGAGATATTTTCTCCACACTCTGCCCCAGGTGTCTTCTATGGCTATAATGCAAATGCCATGCCATAGTGGTACAATATCAGACCCCCTGAAACCTGCCTTCCCATTCATGAATGTGCACTGTGCGATCATATTTCTACATGCCTTTTTTCTACATAACTTTCTGCACGCTGTACCTCCTTTTACATGAGAGGAAAATACAAATGTAAGCACATGAAAATTATTAGTAAATAAAATTTCTGAAATAATAACACAACTTCTTTTTTTGTACTTGGAGCACTCCATGAAATAATTTGAAAAAAATCAGTGTTCATGAGTTTCCTCTTAATAATGAACATAGACAATGGAATTTTTTAAAAAAATAAACTAGAAACCTCATGTATTTAACATTTTTTTTTTTAACTGATTTGCACTTGTCACCACTCCACTAGAACAGGAGGTAACCCCATGCAAAGTTTGGTTTAGATTTCAGGATCGGTGCTACTCTACATCAAAGTATTATAAGAATGTTTATTACAAAAGGCTTTCTGGAGAGAACAGGGTAGACTTCCCAAGCTGGTGGCTAGAGAAGGCAGTGAAAGATGACTGACTTGGGGTGTTATGATGTTTATCTGGTAGGGCTGGAGTGAGTACTCATCTGTGGTTTAAATATCCCACTAGCCAGCTGGGCATGGAGGCTGACATCTGTAACGTCAGCACTTTGAGAGGCCCAGGCGAGAGGCTTGCTTGAGCCCAGGAATTTGAGACTAGCATAGGCAACATGGCAAGACTCTGTCTCTACAAAATTTAAAAATTAGTTGGGCATGGTGGCACATTTCTATAGTCCCAGCTACTCAGGAGGCTGAAGCAGGAGGATTCCGTTGAGCTCAGAAAAGAGGGTTAAGCAGTGAGCTAGGACATGCCACTGCACTCCAGCCTAGGTGAACAGAGCAAAGCCCAATACACAAATTTCTAGGCCAGGAACAGCCTCACAAATGAATTCTAAACACTTTGGAAGGCCAAGATGGGCAGATCGCTTAAACACACACCTCGAACACAACCTGGGCCAACTTTTGAACTCTAATAAAAAAA